AAAAAAAAAAATCCCTGAAATCTTGACAGCTCTTCACAACACGCCCTTGATGTTTTACAATGAAAAACCAATGAGTTAGCAAAACATCGATAAGGAACTGGGTATCTTTCAAGGCCTGGAGCTGTTGAAGGGATTGGGAGAATTTAAATATTCAGCTCATGAAGACCAGGCTCCAGAAAATCAATTTGCCTTCACTTTCATGTTGAAGATCTGTGGAGATCCACCACACTAAAGCCCAAATTAAGGTTGAAATGGAGAGCATTCATGTAGCTCCGGGGGAATCTAAGACCAGGTCGCCTCTGAAAGCGTGACCTAAAGTCATACTCCAATTATCTACGGTTTGGATAACTGGCTCGATTCAGGGTCTGCTAGGGATATTGAAGTGTTCCATGAACACTTTAAAAAGTAGATGGTTATAACTATAGAACAGATCTATTGCAGGTCTGTTACAGGACTAAAGATTGATACTCGACAAAGGCTCACTCAAAACCATTATTACAGTCAGTTTTGCTGTTGTGCTTCAAAATAATATAAATAATAATGTGAAATGGTTATGACACAAGGTTATGGCAAATGGTGCAACCCAAAGAAGATCCCAAACCCCGGGGATTTATTAAACAAACGTGCGTACCGCGTACATAGATTTGATCTTAGAGTGTACGTAAGAGGTGGAAAGAGTACTAAAAATTTGTACTCAAGTACAAGTAGTTGCTAAAATAATACTCATTACAAGCAAAAGTACTGGTGTTAAAAATGTACTTAAGTAAAAGTACAAAGTACCCCTCTCAAAAACTACTCAAGTACTAATTACTTTTTAGCCTCTGATATTTATTTACTTTTATGGGAATCAAATTATAAAAATGGTCTAATATGATTATTAATGAATTATAATGCAAAATAAATAAGCTTATTGGGTTATTTTATTTATAAACTTCTTTTTTTTTTTTTTTTTTACATTTTTTTGTTTTTTACAATAAAGATTTCTAAAAGTACCCTACTAATATTTCAAAAGTTTCAAAAGTTATCAGCATTTAGCACCGACACATGCGCTTGACAAGACATCTGCTGCAAGGAGGTCAACATTATGTTTACAGAGGTAAGAACAGTTAAATACATATATTTTTTGAGATAAGTGTTCTGTTTGCGAGTGTAGGTTACTTGCTGACTAGCAGTGAGTGGTGGTGGGCTGGCAGAGTGATCTGAGGGTTTTCACCGACGTCACGTTCTGGGCGGTAACTCGGATGAGCGGCCATTATGGAGGCACTCGGATGTAAACAACAGAATCGACTGCACTGTTAATGTACAACTGAACACATTGTTACACTAAAAAAAATCCGTGGTAGATGCGAACTCATATTATTCATTTGCATAAAGATGGGCATCGGCCAGCTTTTTGACGCGCTGCATTTTTTCAAATGTAGCGCCGCCTGGATGCTTTGCTGAAAATACGTAACATGAACGCGCTTGACGTCACATCCGCAGACAGCGCGGGAAAAGTCCGACCCGACAGAAAATAGGAAAAAAAAGGATACAGGCTTATAATAGCACCCACTGTGAGCGGACAAGGTGTCAGTATGCTCATCAGGAGATGTTTGAGTCATAAATGGTAAAATAAAAAGGATATAAGTTTATTTTGGGGAAAAAGCTGCATATAGCCTCTTTAAAATCTTCATTCTAAGCTTAAAACACGGATTCACTATGAATAAAACAATGTGTTGACAATTACATGCAATCTAACTTTGAGCGTAAGTTTACAATGCTAAATCTTTTTTGTCACCTGCTGAGTAACGCTGAAACTCATGTTTCAAGTGATGTTTTTAGTCAAATTATCGGGATTTCTACCCAACATTAAAAATGAAAACAACTATCACATAAATTTGAGACATGAGACATAACACGACATGACATGACACAACTTGATATGTATGACACGACATACAACATGAGACATATGACATACGACATGAGACATATGACATGGCACGACATGACATACATAACGAGACATATGACGACATACGTAATGTAATGAGATGACATGACACGAGACATGACGTGAGCCATATGACATGAGACATATGTTATGAGACATCATGAGACATAGGACTTGAAGTTGAACTAACTGACAATAACTTCCTGTTACTGACAATAACTAACTGACAAGTACCTTCGCTTTGGGCCCCCCAATTTGCTAAATCCGCCACTGGCTATATTACCTCCGGGTCAATTCCATCGACGTGTTCACACACTATATTCACAGCAGGTCACAATTAGAATTTTTCCCAGTGCACTTAGTAGCGCAGCATCGATTGTAGCTTTTGAAAGGTAACTAAATAATCATAACTAGTATAATATAACATGGGGACATACATTCAACAAAAGGAATACATAATATACATTTTGGAATAGTTTGATTATGAGTTAAATGTGACAAATCTGTGCCTATGTGTATTAGGTGCTTTTCATTGTCCTTTGTCACCTGGTCTTTTCTTGCTTGTCATAGCTCATGATGGGATGTTTTTGTCAAAGGAGCATTTGCAAAGGCAACTAATGTGATGCTGGGTCTTTTAGTGGCCATTATCTTCTTGAATGTTGGAGCTGGACTAATGATTTAGTGTGAAAAAGGAGAGAGATTTTATCACCAGATGCGCAGATCGAGCAGCCTGATTGCCTCCAAACATTACAATGAACATTTACAATGATAGTATAGTATTGCATTTGTATAAAATTACAGAAGGCTGTTTTTATTGTCCACAAGAGTTAAGCTACCATTTATTTTTTTAATTGCAGGAGACCAATCAAGTTACACTAATTATTGACATCCGAACATATTTTTTTTTTGTGTTCAAAGTATTTTAGAAAAAAGAAAAAGAAAAAAAAAGACAGCTTTTATAAGTTCTAAGACAATGATGGAAATGAGTTGCCTTTCCGCACTGCAAATAGATTCTCAAAGCAATTATGTCGGCTTATATTCTTGATTGACTTGTTCAAGCGTTAAGTCAGGAAAAAGACTAGAGAAGCAATTAGTGTGTATAATAGTGTGTGTCACATTATAAAAGGTAGTTTTTTAAGTTTAAACGAATATTGGGCTATATTGAGTTGCGTTAAAATTAAAATCATTCAGTGAGTAAAACACTTGCTTAATTATTCTGTTATGAATGATGCCATCCCTCCCCCAGTATTTCAGTTCTGAGTTTTTTTTTTTTTTTTTTTTTTCACAATTCAAAGTAATTCAAGTTGTTTCCGGAAGAAGGGATTTGACATTCGCCTTTATGTTTTGGATAGCATTGATCTCTGTGCGGCAGACATAGGTAGAGGCGTTTGATGAGATGTGTCCTTTGAAGAATAGAACACTTAAGACTGTGTTATCTGCTGTAATCTCTTTGTGCTTTAATGACTCTGCCTTCCAGCTAAAGAAAACACTGGCACATTATCACCTTTCCATTGCACAGTTAGTACAGGTGGATACTACCATATGTTTAAAAGTACAATTGGATGTGACCTCACTGAAAATCTTGGATATTCTTTTTTATTAAACCTTGAAATTGAAAACAGAGCAGAGAGTGTTCAGACTTTGGAACATTCAGAACAAAGGCATGTTATGAATGATAAATGAAATATTTAAGATTCTGCTCTATTTCTAGATTGATAATCAAATAATCAAATTTGTGACTATGATCATATGATTCTTTGCACAGACAGTCCGATGTTCTTGTTCCCATAAAAGCACTAGAGGCTCTAAAATCATGTAGGAAAACATAATCATCAGGTTTCACGCAGCTCGAGTGCTGCCGTCATCTTATACATTTTAGAATTTCAGTTGTTCAATTGTTCACTCAATTTGTAATGAAAAACAAAAAAAACATTATTTTTTAAAAAGAATTAAACAGCTCATATTATTATTTGTTTTATATAAATGTAATGTTTTTTATGAATTAATCAGCAGCAGTATTTATTACTAGAACAATTTAAATAACCCATTAAAATGAAAGTATTATGCAATAATTTAATACACTTTTATTTTAGCATAAAGGGTTCTTTAAAACTGGGTCAAGAACCTAGAGATCTAGGGTCTATAACACAGATAAACTTTTTTGAAATCTCTCATCTCTTATGAATGTGGATTTTCACCAATAACTCTTCAAACTGGATCATCAATTTCAAATGTCTATTATTTTTCTTGTCAAATTTAATTATGGATTGATAGCTTGCAACATTAAATACAGACATTTTACCCAGAATACTCCATTTGTTTTCTGCCAAGACGCAATAATACCAGCAGACACAATATGGACTTGAAATAATGTCATGGTGAAAGCCACACAATTGTAATCACAATCACTTGGAGCTGCAGGTAAATTTCCATAATTGTTTCTACTTATCTAAATTACAGGAGTAACATGCATTAAAAATCACTTTTATCATGTTTGTGCCATACTCCTTCCATCAAATGATTTTTTTCTTAATGATAGATTTAGTCTTGATGAATTGCAGTAGTGGTTTGGGACTTGGCAAGGTCAACTGATTTTTCCATCATTCTGACAGTTTCAGGTGTCCTCTCACATGCACTGCTCAGGACAGACGAAGGATGAAGAGGAGCAATGCTGCCTCTCTGTGGAGGAGCCCTGCTCCGTATCACCCATCATCCCCAAATGAGCCGACAGAGCAGGTTTAAAGAGAATGATACAGAGATACAGGTGATACTTGTAGAAACTGAACTGAGTGTTGTGAAGTAATTCTTAATGAAAGATATTCAGTACTGGACATCACAGACTGAGATATAAAAAAATATAATACATTTTAAATGTATATTTATCTATGCAAATTCATATAATTAGTAAAATCTCCCTGGGCATGAATAGAAAGATTTGACTGTTGTTAATATCAAAGGCATGGTGTGTTGTATGTCATGTTAGCATTTCTGAGCTTAACTGATCTTTTGATGAAAATCACTGAGCTTCTTAAAGTGTTTTGTTGACTGGGACAAAATACACACAGACTTAAATGTCTCATTTTATTAAAGAAAACATTTCCACTAAATGAAAGCCTCTAGACATTCCACCATGATGAATATCAGTTTGATTAAGCATCACTTATATTCAATCTGTGTATCTAAATAAGGTGCTGATGGCATCCGGTGTGTCTGGATGTGCAGACACTGTTTAGTCTGAAAATACTTTTGCCAAAGACTTGTTTTCATCCAGTGATTCAAGATGATTAATAATGGACAGCCCTGAGGGCTTTAGATCTGCAACAGATCTCTCAATTTGCGATTACAATAACATTTCTTATTATTGTAAATCTTGAAAACAGTTTAATTAGCTTAATATTTTTTGGAAACCGTGATACATTTTTCTCCAGGATTCTTGGAGGAACAGAAAGTTCAAAAGAACTACATTTATTTTAAATAGAAATCCTTCGCAACTTCATAAAAGTCTTTACTGTCACTTGTGATCAATGTAACAATGCAACTCGGCAGTCCACTAGTGATGTGTTGTTCGCGAACGAGTTGCGCGATTCTTTGAAAAGAGCCAGACTTCACTATCCATTAGCTTGCTGTCACTATGGCATTATCAGCTGCTTGGAAAACAAAAAAAAGTACATTAAAGATCAAATCCACGTACAATCACACGCAAAATCAGAGAATCTACCAGCCAAAGCAAAACCGCAATAGAACATTTCTTAAATTAAGCCATAAGTACATTTTGTTCACTTGGTACACCTAAAGTAAATTGTCTTTTTATTGTCTTGTATATGTTTTCTTAAATTATTTTAATTTTTTTGTTTCAGTAGTGGAATCCAATCATTAAATCGTACTCGGTTACTATGTAACCTTGGTTCTCTCTAGAGTGTTGCGTAAGCTAGCTTACGCTATGGGAAAATCCCAAATTTAAAGCGCATTGCTGTACAGAGCAGACCTGGGCGAGGCAGCTTGCACGCCTATTGGTTGCTCTGCGTCAACTAGGGTGTTCTTTGGTTTTTCATACTGAAGTGGATTAATTTTGTGAAGAGCCACCTTGACTGAGAGCTGAGGATCACCGCCAAAAGCCGCCTCTGTAGTGATCATTTTACACAGGATAGTAGTTTTATAAACTTTCGTCGGAGAAAACTGGGATTCACTGATAATCCTTTGTTCATGGTAAATGGGCTTTCCTGCGAGTGGGTGTGGTTTCAATGCAGCCAGTGGACACGCCCCCAGCGTTTGGGAGAAGAGATACTGCTAATTTTTTTCAACATTTTGATAGCCTATTTTAGTTAGTTGGCTGTTTTTTTATCATTCAAATTTGGCTGGGTGGCTAATAACACATTTTTATGTGGTGTGACATACTCAGAACATATACTTAATTTTGACTTTAAAGGGACTTTAAAGAAGAGCATGTGAGAATGAAAGACAATTCAACATTATAAAAGGAAAACTAGATTGCAAATGCACACAAATAGTTGCCACAATTGAGTTGATTTAAAACTATGACATTCTGTGGTTAAATATATTTATTGAATGATTGACCACTAAACTATAATTCATTATTGTCACACTGTTGCTGTGCTAGTTTCATGTACAACACTCTGTGTTTTCTTTTTTCTCATATAATAAAATAATTGCAACTTAAATCAATATTTCATGTACAATTATATGGTAAGTAGCAATGTTGAGGTTGTCAATTAACCCATCCCCATATCTTGGCTTATTTTGTGCCGTTAAGCGGTTGGCTGTACACTATTTCTAACTTTTAATTAAGTCCACATGGAATCAGAAATCTGTCTCGTTTTGAGTGTTTGTTTATAAGACATTTTGCTAATTTTATTACGCCTTCAGCTACTGATAAGAATTTGGTACTTTCAGCTCTCCTTTTACCATCCATTCCACAGAATTATCCATTTAATCAATCACAAAAAATACAAAAATGACAGCACATTGCGTTTGAGTCTCCTCAAAGCTAGCAGCACAACAACTGTCTGTGATATGAGTGCAGAAGCAACCTTAAGTGTTAATGGTGGTGAGAGTTATTTGATTCTTCTTTGTAGTTTGATCCAAATGCCCTTCTCAGGACGCAAAATGAGTTCCCCCAGAGGCCGCAGTTCCTCACGGCTCTGACATGCCTCTACGTCAAAGTAACGCAAGATTGTAGCAAGAACTACCTTCTCCTCCATCATGGCGAAGCGCTGGCCTGGAGCCAGAGATATACAGAAAAAGAAAAAAATGGGAAAGAAAGAATAAGAATGGCAACAAGACCAAGAGAGAGGAGACATTCATGAAGTAAAATTTCTACTCTAATTTGGAGCTTTCATTTCAGGAAAGCAGTGGAGATGATCGAGTCTAAATAATAAATCTCCAAAGCTATGTGGCACTCTTTCAGTTTTGTTAGAAGCTTATTCTTGTGTGTGGCTAGAGACCTGAACCTGCAAGCACCACTCGCTGTGAAACAATCTGTCTTATTCAGAGGTGGGATAGAGGCCCAAACACTCTGGAGACAAAATTAAACAAATCCAGCATTTTGCAAACAAACTCGATCTGCTTTACAAAGGAAAACTCAACTCGCAAACAAACTCGATCTGCTTTGCAAAGAAAAACTCAAAACTTGTTCGCAAAAAAACAGAAAGCCATTGCGAAAACAAAGGTCAATTTGAGTGAAAATGCAGTGGAGTAAACAATAATGTGTTTTACAAATATAAATAAATGATCCTTGATAATATTTCACAAATAAATCCAAACCATCCAACAAATTGCATCTAACCTTGTCTCTCAAAACCGTAGATGCCACGAAATAGGGGATTAATTTAAAGCTAGTCTCCCAGGAGAAGCATTTGTTTGAAATGCGCTAGCCTTTGCCTACAACTGAGGAAAAAGTTTCTGTCTTACTTTATTTATAATAAACACCTTGAGGTTTTCCTTTGCTAAATGTTTAGTACATATCTAGACATAGATGACGAACTTCCGTTATTGTCAAAAGTTTTCGGTTTACGACTGTTCATCTGCATCCGCAAATAACTAAACAAGATGAGTGCTGCTGTTGTACGAAAAAAAAAAGAGTTCTTAAACACATCTAAGTTTCTAAGAACTGTAGGTGGATCTAACGCCCGTTTCACACACAAACCGTTAGCAGTGCTTTCACATTTTATGATGCGTTTGCAGTGTATAACTGATCATGGCTGTACACTGTCTACACACACAAGTCTATCGTTCTCATATGATGTCTCATATCTGAGTAAAATCACTGATGTATTACCTTGTGTCATTTTGTCCTCAACAATGTTAAATGTAATAAACATTTTGCAAAAGAAAACCTCAAGATGTTTATTATAAAGTAAAAGTTGTAGGCAAAGGCAAGCGCATTTCAAATCAAAGCTTCTCCCGGGAGACTAGTGCTAAATGAATCCCCTATTTTAGCGCCATCTACTGTTTTAGAAGAGGAATTTGCTCAACTGCATTGTGTGAAAATCTGCCAGGACACATTTGTGAAAACATCGAGCCGAGAGATGTCACAATTATAACAGACAGAAATGCATTTGTATGCACTAGATTTGGAATTTGTCCAAAGGTTCCATGCAATTTGTCGGATGGTTTGTATTTATTTGTGAAATATTATGAAGGATCATTTATTTATATTTGTAAAACACAAAATTGGTTACTCTACTGCATTTTCGCTCAAATTGACCTTTGTTTTTGCAAATTTCTTTCTGTTTGTTTGCGAGTCGAGTTTTCCTTTGCAAAGCAGACCAAGGTCCCCGTCCACACTACTGCGTTTTCATTTAAAAACTGAGACTTTTTTGCTACGTTTGCACCTCCCGTCCAGACTAAAACGGGAAAAACGAAGACCTAAAACGGAGAAGTTTAGAAACGCTGCAGCTCCGTTTTGCGTTTTGAATGTCCGGAGGGCGTTTTAGTGTAGACGAGACAAAACGGAGGACTTCAGAAACGCTGACGCAGGGGCTCACGCTCGGCTCTATGATTGGGTGTCATTTCCCTGGTTTGTCAATCACTGTTTACACAGGCACGCGCATGCCCAGTGTTGGTGAACGGTCACGTGATCCGCGTTTTCAGATGTTTTAATGTGGACGGAGATCATTTCTAATACGCAGATAAAACGCTGGTGTGGACGGAGATCGTATTCGTTTTAATTCTCCATTTTTAAACGAAAACGCAGTAGTGTGGACGGGGCCCAAGTTTGTTTGCAAAAAATATGTTTGTTTAATTTTGGCCATAGACAAGAGCATTAAGTCTCTCGTTCAGCTAATAATGCTCAATAAGCAGACTGACTCTTAGGTGAAGTATAATAGAAAAAGAAACTTATAATATTAACAATGTCATAGGTTGGAAATTCAGAACCTGAATGAAACTACTGAATCTACATCAGGAAACAGAAAATGTTGCCTGTGCAGAAAACACTTATGAGTCAGTTCATTTTAGAGAATCAAAACATACAACACAACCAGTGTAGTCTGATTATAGATAAAATTACTCTTATGAGTCGGTTCTTTTTAGAGAATCAAAATATATAACACAACCAGTGTAATTTGATTAGGGAGCAAATGAGTTGGTTTGTTTTGTGAATCAAACACATGCTGTATTGTACAGCTATTGTAGTCTGATTACAAAGCAAATTACTCTAATGAGCCGTTTGTTTTTAGCGAATCAAACGCATACAGTGCAACCAGAGAAGTCCAATTCCTGAACAAATGTCTCTAGTGAGTGGGTTCTTTTTAGTGAACCAAACACTTACTGTGCAACCACTGTACTTTAGTCTGATTCTCAGACAAATGACTCAAGCCTTTTTTTTTTTCATTAATCTGAAACATACAGCTTTTAGCTCAATGTGAAACTTAAGCAAAATCGATCAATTCTTTATGATTCCCATCTCTATGCATATGGCCTCTTTAATAGAATGCACTCCTTTGTATGATACATTTATATCGTTATCCTGTGCTTCCCAGCCTTTTTGTCTTATGCACCCCCTATAGGCCCATTAAGAATGCCCCAAAAATTTTAAATGTTCTCCTTTTCACATTAATTCATATTCTACTGGTTAGCATTTACTCTATCATTTCTATTATATGTCACTTTTATGCCAGTTTTTTGTGTTATCATTCTGTTCTTTTTCTTACCGATGCAGTTTCTTGGCCCAGCAGAAAAGGGGATGTATGCATATGGATGCCTCCCTTTGCTGTTTTCTGGCAGAAACCTTTCCGGTCGAAATTCCTCAGGTTCTGGGAAGTAGCGCGGGTCCCGGTGAAGAGCATATGGTATGATAACAGCATCCACTCCTTTTGGAACTTTGAACCCATCTGCAAACGAGCAACAAAACAATCTCAGTCAGTTATTTTATACATATCACAGAAATTGAACAACTAAACAGGATTTAGCGCACTGCAAAAATGCCAAACTTTACCGTTGTGTGGGAGACAGAATAAAGCTTTAAAAAATAATTGATAAACGGATGCATTATTTGCGCATTGCAACACTTTCTGTCATGAAAAGTTGCTATTTCCCATCCAGCTGCTCTTTCATTTAACCTTGACATGAAAGACTCTTAGCTCTTATCTAGAAATAAAGACTCAGGGTGCTTCATATTTGACAATGGGAGATGGAAATAGATGGCGTCACATCTGCTGTTATGCTGAGGTGCAAATAATGAGAGTGGCATCAAAAAATTTAGATCTTTGATCTTGGCAAGGTGACAAACTGCTGCCACCTACTGATTTGACAGGTCTCGCAGATGCTGCGTGCAAACAGAGGCACGGAGGGGAAGATCCGCAGACTCTCCTTAATAACACACTCCAGGTAGCGAAGCTTTTTCAGGTCCTCCACCCCCACGTGCCGCTCTGACGAACCTGCCGATCAGAACGCAGGAGATGCAGCTGAACTTTAAATGAGGTTGTTAGGAAACATTCCCAAGCTGCATTCTTTACTACGGAGTCAACAAAACAACTGCTTTTATTGAGAACACATTATGCTAAATGAAATACATCCCACATTGTGAGAAAGACTTGTGTACCAAACACTTCCTGTAGTTCTGCCTGTATTGCCTTCTGGACCTCAGGATGGGAGCCAATCAGATGTAAGGCCCAGTTCATTGAAGCTGCTGTGGTATCATGACCCTGTTAAAGAGAATGGTCCTTAAAATAATGTTCAACATTTGTCTTGACAAGCTTTCATTTTATTGTTTTATTTGTACCTCAAACATGAAGGTATCCACTTCCTCCTGAATGTCATCATGGCTCAAATGCTGTCCGTTCTCATAAGTAGCTTTTAACAGCATATCTAGGAAGGCCTGTCTCTTCCTCTGCCCCTGGTCAGAATCACTATCAGGCTCAGAGCTCATGAACTTCGCTCTCTCCTTGATGACCTTCAGGTCAAGAAAACAAATAATTCTGTACAAATAATCTAAAGGTTTGCATTTAACAATTATAAGTAGATTTTATATAGAGAACACATTGATTCTTAATTCTAAACATATTGTTTTTTTTGTGCAAATAGTTTTAAAATTTACTGGACTTTGTTATTGTTTTAGTTATTTACATATTGAATCGGAAGTCTCACACATTCACAGAAAAAAGAGGGTGATCACTCACACTTTTAGTGAAAGAATGGAGAATCTTCAATCTTCTGGAATGTTCTTTGCCTTCCTGCAACATGTTGTAAATCCAGTCTGGCCACAGCCATGGTGCTCTCTGTCTCTTGGTGATGATGTCACTCATTCTGCAAGAGGAATATAAACACTGTCCGTTCTCAGAGAGGCCAACATGGCCCCTATTTATTAGCAAGAACACATGCTTTAACATTAAATACTTACAATGAGGAAAATAAGTATTTGAACACCCTGCTGTTTTGCACGTTCTCCCACTTAGAAATCATGGAGGGGTCTGAAATTGTCATTGTAGGTGCATGTCCACTGTGAGACACATAATCGAAAAAAAAAAAATCTAGAAATCACAATGTACAGTATGATTTTTTAACTATTTATTTGTATGATACACCTGGCAAATAATCAATGTTAATATTTGGTACAGTAGCCTTTGTTTGCAATTACAGAGGTCAAACGTTTTTCACCAGGTTTGCACACACTGCAGGAGGGATTTTGGCCCAATCCTCCACACAGATCTTCTCTAGATCAGTCAGGTTTCTGGGCTGTCGCTGAGAAACACAGAGTTTGAGCTCCCTCCAAAGATTCTCAATTGGGTTTATGTCCGGAGACTGGCTAGGCCACGCCAGAACCTTGATATGCGTCTTACAGAGCCACTCCTTGCTTATCCTGGCTGTTTGCATTGGGTCATTGTCATGTTGGAAGACCCAGCCTTGACCAATCTTCAATGCGAGGTTGTTCTCCAAAATCTCGCAATACATGGCCCCAGTCATCCTCTCCTTAATACAGTGCAGTCGTCCTGTCCCATGTGCAGATAAACACCCCCAAAGCATGATGCGACCACCCCCATGCACGGTTAGTGGAATTATGGCCAAAAAGTTCAATTTTGGTCTCATCTGACCACATGACTTTCTACCATGACTCCTTTGGATCATCCAAATGGTTATTGGCAAACTTGAGACGGGCCTTGACATGAGCTGGTTTAAGCAGGGGAACCTTCCGTGACATGCATGATTTCAAACCATGACGTGTTAGTGTGTTACCAACAGTAACCTTGGAAACGGTGGTCCCAGCTCTGTTCAGGTCATTGACCAGCTCTTTCCGTGTAGTTCTGGGCTGATTTCTCACCTTTCTTAGGATCACTGAGACCCCACGAGGTGAGATCTTGCATGGAGCCCCAGTCCGAGGGAGATTGATAGTCATGTTTAGCTTCTACCATTTTCTAATGATTGCTCCAGCAGTGGACCTTTTTTCACTAAGCTGCTTGGCAATTTCCCCGTAGCCCTTTCTAGCCTTGTGGAGGTGTACAATTTTGTCTCTAGTGTCTTTGGACAGCTCTTTGGTCTTGGCCATGTTAGTAGTTAGAGGGTAATAAACGGAGTGGAGGTGGACATTTTAAAGGCAGACTAACAGGTCGTTGAGGGTCAAAGTTCTAGCTGATAGACAGGTGTTCAAATACTTATTTGCAGCTGTATCATACAAATAAATAGTTAAAAAATCATATATTCTGATTTTTGGATTTTTTTTAGATTATGTCTCTCACAGTGGTCATGCACCTACGATGACAATTTCAGACCCCTCCATGATTTCTACGTGGGAACTTGCAAAATAGCAGAGTGTTCAAATACTTATTTTCCTCACTGTACATACGTACACTACTTACTTATAGACACTTTGAACATACTCAGAGTCAGCATTGCTCTGAGCATAGATCCTCTCTCCCATAGCAGTTTCTGTTGCAGACAAACATATCCTATATGTTTTATCAACAATTATTATAACTAAGTGTTAGGGCTATTTTACATTAGCATGCATGAGCAGTGTGTAAACAAAGCAGCAGGAAAACCTCAACAGCACTCTCACATTGTGCTAAGGAAAGATTGGCTGTACTGTACCACATATGATATCCAAAGCGCACAAGGTTACGTAGCTGAAGCAGTTGAACGGCTCTCCATCTCCATGCTTCTGCATCTTCTGAATCAAAATTTCTGTTTGTTCATTCATCACTTCCAGGAAGTCAGAGAGGATAGAGAAGTGGAAGGTTGGAGTCAGCATTTTACGCCGGTTACGCCACTTCTCCCCTGTGCTGTGTGAAGAAAAGTTGAGAAGAGTCAAATCTGTCACCTCAACCTATTATACATAATGTAAAGGCCAAAAGTGAACACCGGGGTAATTTTGTATTAAATGTCTGTGTTTTTGGACTCTGCGTTTGGACAGGAGCCCATAGACCTTGTGTTCAGTGTGGCTGATTATAAACTGTGCTTTTGATAGACTTTGTTAGCAGTGCTTGATGCAAGCTGCTCTTGAACATGAGATTTATAAAATAAAGTATATAAAATAAAGTTTATTATTATTATTAAAACATACTGTAATAGACATGTAGTTATTTCAAACATCACCAATTGCAAAAATAATGATGTTTTTAACCCTTGCATTATGTTAAAATTCTGGGTACAATTGTTATGTTCCAGGTTATGGAAAAGGTTAAACAAAACTTCTAACACATTACATAAAAGAGAAAACAAGGAAACTGTATTTAACAATTTAAAAAATTTATATTTATTTATTATTATTTATTTTATTAATAATAAAATTTAAGTAAAATTTTATTTAAATAAAATATTTTTTTTTTTATTAAAATTTTTAAATTTAAATAAAATTTAATTTTTTCACTTAAACAGTCGAGCAAGGCACTAGCAACGTTACGGCACAATGATGGGGTAAATCGTAAGTAGTGAAAGTTAAGTTAAGTTACCTTACGTAAAATAGCGTTTTATGATAACTTGGACGTGATGTCACGTCGGGCTCAGTGATAGGCTGCTGCAGTTCCTGTTGCTGCGTTGACAATGAATACAAAACTAAGGATAATTTTTTGGCTTCAATATCTCAAAAAGATAACAATAGAAGAGAACCTCTCATAAGACAACAAATAATCCCACCCGAAACTGGTTGCTTGGCTGCTTGTCAAAGCCAATGTTGCTTTTCCAGTCTGTAAAAAGTCACTGTGGCGATTACTTTTGTAAATACTTAAATATGTCTTTTATTCATCTATATTAGGATGAGAGAAGCTATTTTAACATAAAATTGACAGTAGGATTTTTTTCTGATGCTACCCCAATTAATTTAATTTCACATATTTACAGTGACCATTACAACATAGAGTCTTGTAATAGCAAAGAAAGCAAGCAAGCACAGAGTAATTTTCACAAACAAATTGGTGGTAAACCCACCGTACCTAGTGAGCAGGCCTGTGCCGAGCCACGGATGCAGGAACTTATATGGGTATGACTTGTCAAGGTGTCTGGAATTACTGAGGACCACCTGAGAGAAAAATATAGGTATGAGGAAACTGTGAGGAAAACATAATTATACACCACAAAAAGTAAATGGAGAGGATAAAATTTGACAAATAGGTACCTCAATATTCTCTGCATGATACAAGATTAGAAAGGGGACTGGACCCACCCACACCTTTGCAAGAGGAAGGTGTCGGTTTTCATTTGTGCCCTCAATAATCTGGTTGAAAAAATCTTTAACAGAAACACGCTTTTATAATTTTGCAGTGTTAAATGATCATCAATCAATGGTAGCAAGAGCTGATGTTAGTCAAAAAGATCATCCCTTACCACCTGCATTGACTTTAAACTGCAGTGCATTGCCAATGATTGGATAAGCGCCTGGCATTCCTGGAATTGGTCTCATTTCGTTCCATTTTCCTATATAATTTTTAAGTGGATGATATGTGGTAGATACCAAAAGAAGTAGAAGAACGGCTGAAAATATAATCCCCAGGATATATAATCCAAAAAGGATGCCCATTTTGTTTCGATGAAGCTGGCTGTAACTAATGCTCTGAAAGAGGAGCACAGACTACTTCACGGTGAACTTCAGACTTAACTCTTAGCACAAACAGAGAGAGAGTGAGTGAAAAACACCCTGGGCTAATCAAACAGATTTAGGTATGATAACTGGGACACATGCAGGTTATCTGTGGGTTAAGTGCCTCCCGTTAAAACATTAACAGACAACAGAAGGCAGCAATAATGAACAACTATCTGTCGTGATTTACTAGCACAAATTCAGCTGTCTTTCTCCAATGGAAGAGGTCTGTCAACTACATTGTTAAAGATAGAAAAGCACCTTGGATGGTCTAAATTTTATTCTAGTTATCTCTTTCATCCAATTACAATCTAAAGCAAACATATTATCATTTTTTTTTTTTTTTGTGAAAGTGAGCATTGATAAAATAATTTTAAGACCAGGAAACAATATAATGTATTTTGATTATAATATTTGATTGCTGTGATATATTACTGAACATTTGCCAAATTATATAACAATCCTATTGCAAATTACTCCACCAAGGAGGAGAAGTCCAAATAAAATCTTGCTGAAATAAGTTTGGTAGGTTAAATCATTATTATCAACCATCAATGTAAAATAAATAATTAGGCTATGCATTTTGTTTTATCAACCAGTTGGCCTCTGCAGTAAAAACACATTAATATTAAACTCGATATGCATTAACAAAAAAATGTTTGGCATTCATCCTTCAAAATGGTAAAAAAAGAAAACAACAGGGATGCATAAGGTAATTTGTCCTATTAGCTCCAGATTGTTCTCCAGGTCACTGTGAAAAAAAAACTAAAGTCCATAAACTGAAGGCACTGCATGTGACGGTTTGTAACTGGACATATGGTGACACAAAATACATACAATAAAGTCATATTATGACAGTGATTGAATATCTGTGAGCATCAACCTGTTGCATTCATGTCTGCCCTGTTAAGTTCCTTCATTTAATTACAAAATTAACTCCCCTGCTATGGCATGACAGGCTGAAATTTCTTCCTCACATGCAATGGAAATCGGCTCAACTGTTTCCGATGATTCTGGCCACCTGAAAGCAGATTGTTATGGAGGTTTACTCAGTCTTAAAGAAATATTTTCATTATGTGAACCTCTTCTCTAGGACTTATTAAATGTGTTAATTAATCTCCAGTGTCCCAAAAGCTAAATAATGTCCATATCTTACTGACAACACACACATATTCCTTTTAATTAAAGCCCCCCTTGTCATTGCTTATTTTTCTGGTTCATTTATTTGTTGTTCTACACAGCATATGGTGTGTAGACTGAACAGTTAATTGGTTCAGGCTTTAAAGATATATTCTATATGAAATAAACATCAACAAAGGGAAATTAATTTAAACTATGTGAATTGTGAAACCAACTCTCAAAAAAAAAAGGTTCAACTGGGTTCTATATAGAACCTGAGGGATTTTGACTCAATTTTAAAATGCCCCAATTATATTATGCTTTTTTGAATATTATCTTTCATGCAGTGTGTAATATAGCTGTATGTGCATGTAAAATGTCTACAAAGTTTTAAAGATCAAAGTGCTTGATGAATCAGCTAAAATGAGTCGTCAGCAATTCCAGTCTCACTTCCTGTTACATATTATTGTAGCTACATGACAATGTGAAAAAATGTGCAACGATGAACAACCATGAACAACGTCTATTTTAACCCGTCTTCAGACACTGTGGTTGTAGGTGAGGCCTGGAAGAGTTTGGCTTGTGTTGTTAGTATGTCAGGAAGACACTGTTTACAGCAGTGTTTCCCAACCCTGTTCCTGGCGGCACACCAACACTGCGTGTATTCTTTGTCTCCCTTATCAAACACACCTGATTCAACCCATCAGCTCATAATCAGGTGGGTTAATGAGCTGATGGGTTGAATCGGGTGTGTTTGATTAGGGAGACAAAGAAAACACGCAGTGTTGGTGTGCCGCCAGGAACAGGGTTGGGAAACACTGGTTTACAGCACTGTGAAAACAATTTGTATGCACTTCAAAAGGATGAGGATGCACAGCTGCACTACTTCCTGAACTTTAGCCAGCTCCTTTACTTCCTGTCTGCCATTGTTGGACAAACTGATTATTCCAGGAGTGTCTGATTATTGTTGTTGTGACTACTGAAGTCAGGCACACCTGGATTAATCAGTTTGTCCAATAATGACAGACAGGAAACAAAGGAGCTTCAGGAAATAGTGCAGCTATGCATAAAGCCAATTAAAACAGAAAAACAAACACCATCCATTGTTCGTATCAATGTGTATCAAGAGCTCCTGGGCTCCTCCAGAGTTGAAATTCAGATATGGTAATAGGCGTTTTGTTTGACACGCATTGTCCCCAGTAGACCAATCACAACAGACTGGGCCATTTGATCAATCAGAGCACAGTAGGCTCTCTGAGGGGTTTAAACAGACTAAATCTTTGAATTAACCGTTTTCAGACTCTTTAAAAAATAGGTGATGAGCAATGTATATATGTGGACTTTATGTTAGTGTGTTTAGACCTTGGATGCATGTAAACCTATTGTAGGAGACAACCAAAATCAGAAACCTTTAAAATAGCATAATAGGGGTTATATGGTTCTATACTGTATATGAGTCGGCTGACAAAACCCTTTGAGGTTCTATGTAGAACCTTTTCTTCTATAAACTGTTTCATTTAAATTAATTGAAAGACAATAAGCCAGTACCGCACTGACCAATAGAGCCGGGCAGGGGCATGTTCCCTCCTTCCCCATCAACACAGGGCAGACGCCTCCTGCTAGGTGTGGCACACTCCAAGAATCCACTAGCTGTAGAGCTGGTGATTCCCATACTGAAGCCTGTCACACCCATAGGTGTGCTCTCACCTACAGTAGGAGGCATACAGAAATAACTTTTATTGTCATCTTATTTTTTCTTAAATTACATATGTTTAAGAAGTACAATTTTAGAAAGTAAAGCCATAGTGTGCCACTGGCCAAATCAGGAACCTACTTTGTAAAAGTGACGCACCTTTGACAAGTCCTCGACTTGTCCTCATGTTACAGGCAAAATCCATAGGTGTGAATGACCTTTTCATCGGGGTGTCGGACTGCAGAACAAAACATGGCATGGGTTACTATCTAAAAAAATAGACTCTGTCCAATTTACCACCTATTTCAAGCAGTGTTACCACAGCAGTGTCTGAACCAGGAAAGTATCTATATCACTTCTTGTAGGATGTGGTGACATGTTTCTACAAAGTTGTATAGAACTCTTTTGGTATTTGGTTTTGTTTTACATTAAACTGCTGGTTGCCAATAGCTATAATTGCCTAACATCTGATACCACAATAACTACAACTGGACTTCTTTTTACAAGAAAATAGTATTTCAGTCATTCTACTTCAAAAATATCATATTTAATATACATTATGATGTACTTGCCATAATTATTTGTATTTGAAATGTACTAGCAATTTTTAAAAATAGTTTCATAGTAAATTCTTAACCATTTTTCCCCCAGTATAAATACTTTACTTGAAGGGGTGTGCAAAAGACTGGCATGACACATTCATAACCATGACATGACATGCCATGAATATGAAATAAGGTTAATGCATGTTTATGACAACTGTCATTAAGTGTCCTTCACTCAATAATGACATTCTGAATGCAAATATGACATTGTTTAAGATGTCTTTGTTATGCCATCTTGACACAAACCAAAACAACATAACCTGTCAGTGTCTTTGTCATGACAACTTGACATTAAATTAAGTTAAACTGTCATGTGGTTGGTTTTGACATTGGCTGTCATGAGGCCATTATTACTGTGTCTTGAATACTTTTCATGACCTCAACAATTTGTCATTAAAAAGATATATGGCTTCATGACAGCCAATGTCAAAACCAACCACCTGACAGTTTAATCTAAATGTTAACCAATAAAGCTAGGTGATTTCTGAAGTTTGATAATTAATCTGCAGTCATGTTTATGACAGGTTGTGTTGTCTTAGTAATGTCAAGTTGTCATGACAAAGACACTGACAGGTTATGATGTATTGGTTTTTGTCAAGGTGTCATAACAAAGACATATTAAACAATGTCATATTTGCATTAAAAATGACATAATTGAACGAATGACATTTAATGACAGTTGTCATAAACATGCATAAAACTTCCTTCATATTCATAACATGTGTCATGTCACATTGATGAAGATGCCATGTTAGTCTTATGCACACCCCTTCAAGTAAAGTGTTACCAAATACGGTACTATGATCATAGTTGTAGTGATTTACTCTGAATGTATGAGTAGTATTGGGCTGAGACAGAGACTCCAGCATCAGGGTGGGCTCTCTCAATGGTGGCAGATTGTTTACTGCGTGCGTGACACTGGTAGCTCCGCCTCTTATGACCCTCCCTCTAAGCTAGGAGATACAGAGAGAGATCACAGCTTTGAATCTGAAATCAAACCAAACTAGCGCAGACTGAATTTCCAATCATCCTTAAATACACATTTAATTACACAGAACTTGATGCCATATTCCTTCCAATAAAAAATAGTTTAAGATAGTTTGAACTTTCTATAAGAGCAAAGGGCATGTTTACTATTACTAATGTCATATCAACTAGACTATGGAGGCAATATGTCCCTTTCACCCATTAAAAAAAAAATAAACTGCTGCTGCTATCTGTTTACAGTGATCAAAGTCTGAACACAATTTTTAGGATTCTTTCATGAATAGAAAGTTCAAAAGAACAACATTTATTAAAAATAGAAATATTTTGAAACTTTATGAATGTCTTTGTCACTTTTGATCAATTTCATGAGTCTTTGGAAAATATAAGTATACATTTTTCTGGCCCGAAACTTTTGAGAGGTAATGTATGTATGTTATAAGACAGATCAATAGGCTGCAGGCCACTGTGACACCGGTGTGGCTTGTTACCTGCACAAGCCTAGACATAGGCGCATAGTAATCCTGCTCTGGGGACTCAGAAAGTATCTGAGGAAGCCTGTGGTTTTGAACGGCACTCACAGGGGGAGAGGGCAGGCTTTCATTCACAGTGGATCTGTGAGAAACAAACCCAAGAACACATACTTAAATTAGCAA